GTTGAGAACGTACAGAAAGACTGGTGGATATTCGATGTAGGCGCGAACATTGGGTACTATTCGATATTGTTTGCGCAGCTCGCGCCACTGGGCAGAGTGATGTCGTTTGAGCCGACATCAACCGCGGCGATGCTGCGAGCGAATCTAGCCCATAATAGTATCTCCAATATCGAAGTTCACGAGGTCGCACTGGGCGCAGTTTCCGGCATTCAGAATGACCGTATTTTTCGTCTTTGGGGCGGAGAAGGCGACGTTAAGAATTATCAATTTTATAAGCTTGACGACTTTGTCGCCAAACAGAATCCGGCGCGGATCGACTGTTTGAAAATTGATGTTGACAGTTTTGATTTCGAAGTACTGCAGGGTGCTGAGAAAACCCTCGAAGCTCACAATCCAGTTATCGTGGTTGAACTCAACCATGCTCTGGCAAAACGCAACCAAAGCGCCGGACAGGCTTTAGCTTGGTTGGCAACACGAGGTTACCGAGAAGCACTCGTGCTGGACGATGATAACTTTGTCTTGCAACGGGATCGCAAATTTAACGAAGGCAAAACTCATCTATCTCTTCTCTTCCCAGAGCCGCTCCGATTTACGGAGTCTCTAGATACGTTCCCAGGAAGCGATATTGCTTCGCCATTTACTGTAGCCGAACTTCAAAATGGCTCTACTATCGATGGGCTCGCCCCGCCCACTGTGGCTGGCTCTAATGAACATTCTTCTAATAGGCTATTCGACCTCGGCCTCCGGCTTTTGGGGCAAAAGAAACCTGGATATCAGTTAGACAAGCATCTTCTATCTTCTCTAGTTGGGCGCAAAATTCAGACATCGAGCCGCAAATGGAGCTATGGTCTGGTAGTTTTTCCTGACGCTGGTGCTTGGCGCGCGAATGTCACTGACCAAACGGTGCTTTCATTTGAAATCGAGGTAGAAGTTTTCCAAGGCAAGTTAGGAATCGCCATCGGAGGGGATGATCCTTCAGGTTTCGTTTCCCCGGAACGAATCTTAACCGCTATGGACGGAATTCAGCGCATCCTGATAAAGGCCCAGACGGCTCAGATTCAGTCTCTCCTCTTCCGC